GTCTCGAACCCGCGGGCTCAGGCAATCCACTCACCTCGGCCTCCCAAAGCATGGGATTACAGGCTGAGCCACTGAGCCTGGCTCCTATTTAACTTTTTAAGAAACTGCCGAAGTGTTTTCCAAAGTGCTTATACCAGCTGGGCAAAGTGCTCTAGCCTGGGCGACAGAGTAAGACTCCAACTCAAAAACAAACAAACAAACAAACAAAAAACAACAAAGTGCTTGTACCGGTTATGTTCCCACAATGAGTGTATTAAAGTCCCAACTACTCTAACTCTAGTCAACACTTGCTATGGTCAGTTTTTAAGTTTCAGACATTCTAATATATATGAAGTGGTGTTTCAATGTGATTTTAATTTGCATTCCCCTAACAATGTTGTGCATCTTCTCACATGCTAAACTGCCATATATTTACAGCTTTGTTTTCAACTCATAGAGCAGTTTTAGCTTGATTATTCAATCCAAAGAGACAATATTCTTTATGTCTGGCTAGAATATCCTTTTTTAAATTACTTCTCTAGTTTCACCTCGTCTCTGCACTCTGCTATTAAAACTAATGCTCATCAAATACCCAGCAGAGGCCAGGCCCTACAATATCTCATTTAGACCAAACAACCGTGGTACTATAATTGCATATTTACAGAGGAGGAATCTAAGGCTCAAAGATATTAAACAACTTTACTAAGGTTATAGAGTACAGACAAAGTAAGACAGGGAATTGAACAGATTAGTCTGATTTCAATGCCAGAGATCTTCCCAAAATAACACCAAAGGTAAGTTTACTTGAACTTCTTTTCTTTGTATAAAAACTCCAGTGGAGATCCTGTTTATGATGAAGACACTGGCTGCAGGGAACCACCTTGGAGAAACTCTTGTCTGTAAGCACAGAGTGAAGAGGTGGTTCTTATGTTCATTGCAGAACCAGTGTAGATGCAACCTCGCTGTCCAGCATCAGGGGCTCGAGTAAACAAACTGGTTTACTCCTTCCTCAGATTACGTATCAACCATGAAATGAACAGACTACGAGGTCTACAAGTGTCAGGTGAATAAATGTCACAGAGTTGCAAAATAAATCACATTGCAAAAGATTATATACAATATTTCACCATTTATATAAAAAAACAAGATGGCCATGGTGGCTCATGTCTGTAATCCTGGCACTTTGGGAGGCAGAGGTGAGAGGATTGCCTAAGCCCACAGTTTCGAGACCAGCCTGGGCAACAGGTCAATGCTGGGGTGGCTGTGAGTGTGCCACTGCACTCCAGCCTGGGCGAAAGTGAGACTCCAACTCAAAAAAAAAAAAATTAGTTGGGTGTGGTGGCACACGCCTGTGGTTCCAGCTATTTGTAAGGCTGAAGTGGAAAGATCACCTGAGCCCAGCAGATCGAGGCTGCAGTGGCTGTGAGCATGTCACTGCACTCCAACCTGGGTGACAGAGTGAGACTCCGACTCAAAAACACATATGCACACACACAAAACAACACTATGTAATGTTTACACTGTTATGTAGTGACATGGTGATTAACTGGTGGGGTCACAGGCATAGGGAGAATGGCTTGAGAGACTTACGGTTCATCTACAATATTTCTTTTTTTGTTGTTAAATAGAGACGAGGGCCTTGCTATGTTGCCCAGGTTGATCTAGAACTCCTGGCCTCAAGTGATTCTCCTTCCTCAGACTCCTAAAGTGCTGGGATTACAGGCATGAGCCATCTCTCCTCGCCTGTTTCTTTAAAAAGAAAAGTAGCCGGACTCGGTGGCTCAGCCTGTAATCCCGCGCCTTTGGGAGGCTGAGGTGAGTGGATTGCCTGAGCCAGCGGGTTCGAGACCCGCCTGGGCAGGCGAGACCTCATCTCTACAATAAATCAAAAAAATTAGCCGGGTGTGGTAGCGCACGCCTGTAGTTCCGGCTCCTTGGAAGGCTGAAGCAGAAGGATTGCCGGAGCCCAGCAGGTCGAGGCTGCGGTGACCGGAAGCGGCCACTACACTCCAGTCTGGGCGATAGTGAGACTCCAACTCAAAAAAAAAAAAAAGAAAAGAAAAGTAATGCAAGTATGCCAAAAATGTAAACATCTGTTAAATCTGACTGCAGATACACAGTTGCCTGTTATATTCTTCATTTTTTATATATTACAATATTTATTAATTAAAAATAAATATGTGAGTCGCCTGGAAAGTCCAAGGGATGCCTCACCTAAAGTTGATCAGTAGGATGTTTAGAGAAAAAAGCAGGTAAGCAACTTGGGGCTTCGCTCAGTAACATAACCCAGAGAAAAGAACACAGACCCATGGGCCCTGCCCTCTGTGGGGTGAATTCTATACACATAACTGAGCTGTGACGACACAGTCAAAATCTCCCAAGTGCGGAAACCAAAAGGTGGGATGTCGTTGACTGAGGTCAGTCCTTTCCTTAAATCAGAATCACCGGGCGGGCCTAAAGAAACAGACTGCTGGCCCCACTCCCAGAGACTCTGATTCAAGTGGTCCTGGATGGGCCTGACAAACTGCATTTCTAGCAAGTTCCCAGATGATGCTGGTCTGCAGAACACATTTTGAGAAAAAACCTCGGCTGTTACTAACTCCGGCATCCTTTTCTTTCCTTCCTCAAGGTTCTGTGAGTAAAAAACCAAAATAACAGAAACGAAACTTTTTTTAAAAATTGCATTTGTTGGCCGGGTGTGGTGGCTCACAACTGTAATCCCAGTACTTTGGGAGGAGGAGGCAAGAGGATTGTCTGAGCCCGGGGTTCAAGGCCACCCCGGGCAACTTGGTGAGACCTCATCTCTACAATAAATCAAAACTTTACCCAGGCATGGTGGCATGCACTTGTAGAGTCTGGGGGCTTCAGGAGGTTGGGGAGGAAAGATTGCTTGAGCGTGTCACTGCACACCAGCCTGGGCAACAGAGTGAGGCTCTGACTCAAAAAACAAAACACCTTAAAGTCCTATAATTAAAAAAAAAAAAACCTGAGAAATGACCAAAATTAAGCAAGCTAGCCACAGTGCTAGAGAGCAGTAAAGCATGTTGGCGGGAAGTCTTGACTGAATAAGCTGATGATTTCTAAGCAAAATACGAACCTTTTCACTGGATACTGCTGCATCTTTGTTGATTAACAAACTCTTAGGTGAATTCTTTTTATCAGGAGCAGACGCTATCTCATCCTCTCTTAAGGCAGACTTTGAAGAACCCAAACAGTGGGAATGTTGGATGGCAATTAGCTCACTGTGAATAATAAAACCAAATAAAAAACAGTATCTTAAGTCAATATCATATATATGTCACTAATATTCTTGTACTTATAAACATTTCAAGAGGACAAAAAAAAGGGTTTTTTTTTTGCTAACGAAGCAGTTTGAGTTTGAGTAAAATATTATAGATTGCAGTAGAATATTGTAAATTGTGCATATCTTTTGCCAGTAAAAATTAAACCAAAAGTCTTAGTTAAGGTTAACTATGGAATAGGGAATTTCCATCGCCCCAGAAAATGCAAAGAAAAAAAGGTTCTAGAGACAGGATCATCAAAAAGAAAAAAAAAATTAACATAGACTATCACTAAAAAAAAAAAAAAAAAAGCGGAAATGTTGACTCCTGCCTATAGCCCCAGCAACTTGGGAGGCTGAGGTAGAAGAATCACTTGAGTATAGGTGTTCAAGGCTGCAGTAAGCTATGATCACATACAGTGATCATGTGACAGAGTGAAATCCTGTCTCTAAAATTAAAAAAAAAAAAAGGCAGGGCATGGTGGCTAATACCTATAACTCCAGTGCTTTGGGAGGCCAAGGCAGGAAGATAGCTTGAGGCTAGGAGCTCAAGACTAGCCTGGGCAATATAGTAAGACCCTGTCTCTACAAAATTAGCTGGTGTGGTATCACAGGCCTGTCATCCCAGCTACTTGGAAAGCTGATGTGGGAAGATCTCTTGAGCCTAGGAGTTCAAGGTTACAGTGAGCCATGATTGCACCATCACACTCCAGCCTGGGTGACAGAGCAAGAGTCTCTAAAAAAAAACAACATATAATAAAGTTATACTTGTGAAACTATGAGCATTTTGGTTTGCAATGTTGATTTTTGTTAATGGCTTTACTTTTCTTTTTTTTGTGTGAGTTGGGATCTCACTCTGTTGCCCAGGCTGGAGTACAGTGGCATGATCACCTCTCACCACAGCCTCAGCCTTCTGGGCTCAAGGGATCCTCCTGTCTCTGCCTTCCCAGTAGCTGAGACAACAGGCATGCACCACCACATCCAACAAATTTGTTGATTTTTTTGTAGAGATGAAGTCTCGATATGCTGCTTTGGCTCAAGCAGTCCTCCCGCCTTGGCCTCCCAAAGTGCTGGGATTATAGGCATGAGCCACAGCTCTGGGCCTTGTTAATGGCTTTTTAAACTAGTAGAATGGCACTGTTGTGGCTCATAAATTCTCCTAGAGGAAGTCGATATTGGGAACAAACACTCAGCTAAGCTTCTGGGTATGTATTAAAGTCTGGGCTCAGCCGGGCAGGGTGGCTCAGCCTGTAATTCCGCGCCTTGGGAGGCTGAGGTGAGTGAATTGCCTGAGCCCGCGGGTTCGTGACCTGCCTGGGCAACTTGGCGAGACCTCATCTCTACAATAAATTAAAAAAAAATTAGCCGGGTGTGGTAGCGCGCATCTGTAGTTCCAGCTACTCGGAAGGCTG